TTGAAGAGTCACATTCAGGATATTTCCGTATTTTTATTAAGTTTGAGTAGTTATTGCTAGTTATTTTTGAATAACTACTCAAAAATACTGAAAATATCCTGAATGTGACTCTTCAATTCTACTCCGTGATGAAGCAGGGGGTATTGCACAGTAGGACACTCTCCTCTAATTATTATCTATTCTTGGTACAATGTACATGTACATGTACTTGAGAGAGATAGAGATCTGTAGACTAGAGAGATACACGTACATGTACATGTAGTGTTTTAGTACATGTAAATAAACATGAAAATGATAACAATATCTTGAGTCATGAATTACTACTTGTGCATGTACATATATGCAATTTTATATACATATATGTACATGTATTTAATTGTTATTGCTATAATTAGGTTATTGGTGTGGTGGGCGTGATCAGTGGCATAGATGACGATGGAGACATTGTTGTCCAGTATCCGTCCGGCAGCCGTTGGACCTTTAACCCGGTCGCCCTCAAGAAAGCGACGGTGTCTCCCGTGGAAACCGGCCCCCAGAGGACCTCCCTCGGGTCCATGAGACTCTCGGGTGGGTTTCTCGATAATTACTTGCCTGGGGACGTGGTAAAGGTCCATAGTGATAGAGAGTATGTCAAGAGACAGCAGCAGGGACATGGAGACTGGGTGGAGTCAATGACCATGGTGAGGAACATGAACAATACAGTAGTATGACAATTAGCAGATTTAACACATGCGCATTACACATGTACATGTACATGTACTTCAAAATTTAAATGTACTTCAACATTAAAATTTACTTCAAAATTAAATTGTACTTCAAAATTTAAATGTACTTCAAGTCTTCAACATTAAAATTTACTTCAAATTAAACTGTACTTCAAAATTTAAATGTACGTGTACTTCAAACTTCAAATGTACTCCAAAGTTAGAATGTACAGTATGTGCCTACATTGTGTTATTGTGTTATTGTTTTGTAGACTTTGGGTCAGGTTGGGCGTGTGATAGAGGTGATTCAATCTGGTGATATCATTGCTGAAGTGTGCGGCACCAACTGGACCTTCTCACCAGCAGTACTGACCAGACTGGACACTGAGGGGGCACCTCTTACCCCTGGAACCAGCCGTGAGAGAGAGAGAGGGAGGGAGAGACAGAGAGAGAGAGAAGAGAGAGAGAGAGAGAAGGATGAGTATTATTTGATGGTGTTTTTATTATTATGTTTTCTCCAGAGAATGTCAGTGTTATGCTGCGTCAGGTTTTTGAGAGCCACCAAGCATCCAATCCGGTTGAAGAACTATTCAAAGCAGCTGCCAGTGGAGACATAGGGAGAGTGGAAGAAGTATGAGAATATGTACAAATGTATAATTGTATTCTCTCTTTATCTTATTGCAGGTGTTGAGTCAAGGTCTTTGTACGGTAGATGAGAGTTTCGATGGACAGACTCCGCTTCATATTGCCTGTCAAAATGGATACCGCGACGTGGTGAGGTTCCTCATTAACAAAGGAGCCAATCCTGAAGAAGAGGTACAAGAGAGAGAGACGAGAGAATGGAACTAAATTTAAATGTTTTAGGATAAAGACGGCGATCAAGCGATTCACTTTGCTACGATTGGAGATGAGCCGGACATCATAGAGCTCCTTGCGTCCCATGGAGTTGATCTTAACACTCGTAACAGACGCCAACAGACTCCTCTGCACATTGCAGTCACCAAAGGATACAACATTGTCATTGAGTGTCTCCTTAAGCACAACTGCCATCCTAGCCTACAGGTATTTCCTCGTTAATTATTCATAGATTGTTGACCACACCCACACAGGATGCTGGAGGTGACACGCCCCTTCATGATGCAATTAGTAAGAAACGGGACGACATCACAGAGTTGCTTTTAGTGGGCGGGGCTGATATTACGGTAACCAATAGCAACGGATTTAATTGTCTTCACCATGCATCACTAAGGTATGTATACAAAATTGTTATTATTATTATTATTGTTGTTGTTGTTTATTTTAGAGGTAATTTAGGAG